CGTTGGAAATTTTTTTAAAAATTTTACGAAAGTTGTTACACTAATGTGGTTTGAGTCTTGGGTTGGATAACTTTTTGCGATCATGAATTACAACTTTCCCCAGACCCGACCATGAATACAAAATTTCCTGACAGCAATCGCTGCTTATCCGTATTTCGGGAAAGTAAATTACACAAATCGAAAGGGACTCTTTTTTCAACCATCAACTGTTTCTATGCAAACTAAGGGCTAGTATAGGAAAAAGATTTAATTTTTAATTGATGAAAAACGCGCTCTGTACTAGATAAGGAGCGCGCAGGTCCATTTTTTATGGACTCGCCTCATATAAAGGTTCTGATGTAAATATTTTCCATTTTCTATATGCAGCTGATAGCTGATAGCTTTCTTTGTCTGCATATTTCAGTTGTACTTGTTTATTTTCTAGAAAATTATTTTCTTCAACCGATATGCTCAATAAAGAAAAACTTTTTTATTTAAATTGTTTTTTTTTTTTTTTTTTTTTTTTTTTTTTTGTATTTTGCTTCTACACTTTCAATCAAGTTCTGCAACAGAATTCAAATTTGCTGATTTTCTTATTTTATAGTCAATAATTATGGAAATGTGTAGCAGTATGCGTGCATATGTATATATATATATATATATATATATATATATATCTGGGTCATAGATTCTCTTGTTTTTTATATCAAAGAGGATGCTTAAAAAACGTATGCTTTTGTTTTTATTAAATTGAATGCAAAATGATTTCACTCTAGTATTATATGTAAGTAAAGTTTGTTGTGCAATTAGCCTCAATTTACACAATATGTGATTAGTTTGCGGAGTGAAACTATTTTCCTTTTTATACTCTCTTTTTTCTTTTTTTTTTTTGCTTGTAAAAAAAATGCTTTTGCAATGATATTGCTTTTGAAAAAAATCATACAAGAATGAAAAAGAAAAAAACTCCGCTCATTTTCAAAGCGTATTTCTCTTGGCGATTTTTAGCTGAGACATTTAAGCACAATGTCAACGAGTTTGCATGGTAACGGAGATGCAAGCTGCCAAGAGAAGCACTTAAAATACATGATTTAGGAAGATAAACAGATGCATCTTCCGAATTTTTATACCAGCCAGCGAACGGTAAAGGTATATTCACTTCGTACAAATCTGTGCACTACTCATATGTCCTTCAAAGTATACGTATTTTTAATAAGCTTTAAATTTTGAATCGATTTAACTGTGCTCCTCTACCCGTTTGTCTAACTTCTTCGGTCTTTTGGACGCAAACACGCAGCTATGGGACTCAGATTTGGCAGAAACATGGGAAGTACGTAGTAAGCAAGTTGCTATTGAAAAGTGGACCCTCTCGGTCAAAGGACAAGCCCTTAGCAAAGTATAACCTGACAATACCTCTACCTCATTAAGCAAAACCGTGAGGATTATCACTCATAACCCATTGGTGAACAAAATTTCTTAAATCTATTTTATGCAGAGCCCTACCAATCTATCCACCTCTTCATGTTCGAAAATGAAAAAACCCGGCCGCGGCTTTACAAAGTTATAAGTGATCAAATTCTTATTCTCTTCCCTGCTTTCTTTTTTTTTATTTATAAGCTTCAGAACGTTGGAAATTATTCTCAACATTCTACACATGAAGACACAATGTCTTTACTTAAAAAGAAATTGAGCATGACCACCCACCCATTATTACAAAACATCAAAATTTAGTTGACTTTCTGTTCTACTTATTACTTTTAGATTATAGTGGAAAGAGATTTGTTAATTGTATAGATTTTCCATGCCCAAAATGGAAATAGAGGACCACGTACACTGTACGTCCAATACACGTCCACGATATACTTCTTTCGATGAATTCATTTAAAATTTGTAAAACTTCTGAAAACAGATCTGGTAATAAGAACTTGATATGACAAATTGAATGAGGGCGGTGGTGCACGTGGTCCGGTCGTAGCTGAATAGAACTATTATACTTGTGCTTTAGTTCGTCTTAGAATAAAGGTGTTGGACATAAAAAATTTGCTCACACCCAACCATCATTTTCTTACTCGTTTGTGAATTCAATTTAGGAACAGATACTTAACGTAAATGCACCCTGACTGATACGTTTCATTCAATCAATTTTCGGCAAAAAGAATGGGAGGCAACACTAGGTACATCTGATCTGATCCAACAATCGAACATAGAAACAAAAACAAGTAGCACATTGCCCTGGCTTATCACTCTTATTCACGTCGGTCTTCAACGAGCAGGCCGTAAACAGGTTTCCCTTTGTGTGATTTCTTAAAATGCAAGCACGAAATCCATGACGCTTCGAAATTTATCTTATTGTTGTCTCATGTGAGCAACTACAGCTTGTTCACTATGTGTTCTGCTGCCGTTATTCTCTCTTGTGTTAGGGTCTTTTCCATAGCAGCCATTCACTGCTACAACTATTAAGTATTGTTATTTTGACATAGGCTCTTTTCTATAAGTTGCTGCAAATCGTTTGTTCATTATGCCGAAAAGAAAAACACATCACATAGGCTACTTTCGTGTCGTTACCTGCCTTGCTTATAATATGCCCTTGAGAATAATCTTGCGTCGACAAAACTGATGAAAGTAATAGAATTTTGTTAACTCCGTACAATATCCGAACTTCGGACTACACGGACCCGGCGCTATGTACTTATTCCAGACTTAACAAGAAATTCCCTACAACATACCTTTGACTTGGGGATATGCAGACTTGCAAATACAGCGGATCTTAGCTGGTCGGAGAGCCTAGAATGACGTAGGCTGCATCAATAGTAAGATGATATAGGTTAAGATATTTTGGGATTATATATAAATGTGCAATGAAAGCGGCGTTAACGCATGCACAAAATACAGCCAAAGGCAATATAAAATAAATTTAGGACTAGCGGGTCTCAAAGAGAGTTTTCTTTTATTTCTTTTTTTCTCTTGAAAGATGGCAACACTACTTCGTACAACTTCGCGGGGATTGCATTATTAAATCGCAGAATAACGAAACATATAAGATGTTCAATACGTTTCGCCTTCTCTGGGTGGAAAAAAGACCATAACCTCGTTCTCGAATTTCAGGAATAGTCCAGCTATCTGGACGGCATGAAACCAAGCAGTTGTTCATGGTGAACACTATAGGCGTTTTTGCTTTCTATATAGCATTTGCGTAACGTTCAACCGTAGACTTACCGGAGACTTTTAGTTTTTAAAATCCTTATAACTATTTCAATTTTTCGGTTGTTGGGATTTGAGAGTCGTCAAGACCATTAGGTAAGTAAGCGCCTGCTTTTTGTATTAATGGCATAATTTTTCCGATACCATTCATCACTACATCAGTTTAGCGTTCACTCTATTGCATTAAAATGTTAGAGAAAAACAAAACAAAAGTATCTCCTTATCAAAGGGTCGACCACTTGAAAGCAATGTGCAGAACGATCATTTTCTACAGAATGTATCCTTAGTTGGTTTGCTAGATTACGTAAAAGCGAAAACAACTACAGCCCATAAAATTCGAAAAGCTGCATATCATAAATCTTCTGAAGTATGCCTTGGAAAGCGTATCGAAAACAGTTTATCAAATTGATGTTTGTTTTTACAAATTTAATGGCGTTATTCTAGTAATAGTTCACGTTGCTAATGATGACCGCCTTACTGCAGATGCAATAATTCTTATTTTGCAACGACATTGTGGCGATTACCATGTTCCGTCTTATTAGCCCATATAATGTGAGCAACGCCAGAAGGCTATAAAAGAGACGAGTCAAATCGTTTTAGTCTGGCAAGGCCGACTGCTAAATCCGGTGCATTCGTGATAAAGTACTAAAAACTTTTTGCCATGTAAAGCTAAACTTTTCATACCAGCCCTTATGCGTCAATTGGGAAAATTCTAATTTTCTTGCCAAAGATTACATTGCTTCTCACCTGCTTTTTGCATAAAATATTAAAAATTCGATTTTGTTCCCATATCGAATGTTAAAGACCACACCTACGTTGTCCAAATTTGTTGTTGTTGTTGTCAATTTACGATTATGTACAGTGTTTTCGTCACAGAGTATTATTATTTTTGCCACGTAAAGGCTTAATTTCCGGGGATTGCGTACGAGCGAAGATCATTCTCATCAATTTAGTAACAAAATACTTAGCTATTTTTCTCGATAAATTTTGAAAATATGTAAATGCATTTACAATGTAAGTCGAACTTTATGAGGGAATTACTAAATTTCTATAGATTACATACAAACTTACATGGACAGACCGACAAGCTTAAATCAATTTATGATTGAGGGTAATGACTCCAAGTCGACCAATATAATATATAAGTTGGATCTATTTTAAGGTATTCTGAGAGTTATATACAATCGCACAAACTTAATATATCCTGCGCCACAAACTGTTTGGGGCATAATTACTTTTGGTACCGCATTTCTTGTATAGCGCATATCCACTTTATCTGTCAGAACGTGTTGATAAAGCAGATGAATATTTGCTAATCACTCATATTTATTTGCACGGACTCGGATAAACAAAATGTTATTACAACAATAGACCTTTTTCCTCATAAATTCGATAATACCCATAGGTATTTGGTAAAGCAAACTTTGTGTTTTGAATGCGATTGTGTGTATAAAACCAACAATACACATATGTGTTACATGCACTAATTATCCCTATTGGGTATAAAATAATTTGTGTTTGTATAAACGGCATTTGACAAGACGTGAAGATAACAACACATGTTAACAGTAAATCGAACAGTGCGCGTTTGCTTCCTCACATTGTTTTGCTAATATGGGGGAATATTACTTTTCATATTTCAACAGCTGTTATGTTACATTTGCACGTTGCTGGCAGTGATAATTTTGAAATTTAATTGCGTTCATCCTTTCATTTAAGGTAACACGATTCCATTTCGCTACAAGCGCAAAACTTTTTGGAGAAGAAAAAAACTACGCATCATCAGTTTGCTGTTCTCAGAGTATTTCGGAATAATTTGAACGATGTCGGATATGTCAGCACCGCCTATTATTGTATGTTCGATATGCAAAGAAAAATTGATTATAACGGATACTATTGACAGCATAAGCTGCGGCCATATATTTCATCATAATTGCATTCAGTATTGGCGTAAAAGGTAAATAGGACTCAGATGAGTTGTCATAACCGATCCAATCAGTACCTAATCTATCAATTATATGATTGAAAATTACAGGTCTGCCGAATGTCCCGTTTGCCGATTTCAGTGCGATGGTTCGCAACGAGTATTTCTTGATTTTGACGAAAATGCAATAGGGGATGCAGCAGACTGCGCAGCAGACAATGCTATAATAAGAGAGTTGCAAGATAAACTGCAAACTTGCGAAAGAAATTTGAAAAGAGCAAAAGATCGTTTAGACGAATGTGAAGCTAAGAATCTAATATTGGAAGAAAAATACACGGAAGCCAAGGAAAATTTTAAGAAATTGATGGAACAAAATGATCGGTTATACTCGCAACTCAAAGAAAAAGAACGCGAAGGAAAGAAATAGGGAAAATATTGAAAATCTCTCCATTTAAATAAAAAACTTTCGCATACAATGAAAAACATACATATCTGGAAAATACATTGATCAAAGCTTCATGCTGTATTGCTCTTGTTTTCTTTTCCGTAACACTCGGAGTTTAATGACAGCCGCAATGGAAGCTTTGGATAACACAAATTTATGGCTTGTTTTTAATATTTTTTTGGAAAATTTCAAAATGTAATTGAATTTTATTATACCCACCACTGTAAGATGGCGTGTAGTCATTTTGTTTTTCTATGATATACATATGTATATATTCTCGATCAGTATCAAAGTCATTTGTGAGTATAGCTATATTATGTCCGTCTGTAATCTGGAATTATTTATGCGGCCATTAAAGATACGCTCAGCTTCTGGCCGTCAAATTAGAAATGGGCGTAACTTGCCCACACCTACAATTATCAAAATAGTGCTTCCGGTCGACCCGATTGGCATACTCAGAAATTCTGAATGTCTGTGGTTTTTTATACCCGCCACTGTAAGAGCGGGGCATACTCAGTTTTTTCCAAAATATATGTAACACCCAAAAGGAAGCTTCAGACAACCTATAAAGTGTATATATTCTTAATCAACGTGAAATTCTGAGTTGATCTAGCCATATCCGTCCGTCTGTGTGGTTTGTGTTGTTGACATTCTCAAATCTGATAGAGACATTGGAAGTCTCTGTGGGCAGTTTCGTACTGAAAATGGGCCAAATCGCTGGGAGCGGAAGCGCGCAATGAAGCGTGAACTGAAAGCAACTCTGATTTTTTTAACAAAAATTTTTGCATTTTTGTTCGTTATTCGGAAATTATGAAAGTTGGAAGGCTGAAATTGTCCGCACTAACTTTACAAAGCACTCTACTCCTTACATGCAAAAATGGAAACCATCCGCTGTAATCCTTATCTATCGTAAGGCAAACGAGACAGAATGTTTAAAAATGTTTTGTACACTCCTTAAATGAAGATATATTATCTGCCTAGAAATGGTTCAATTTTAAGATAAATACTGTAGACACCGCGATTACTTTTTTCTTAATAATACCAGCGATATGGCTATCAAAGGAAAGAACCTGGAGAGTAGAATGCGAAAAGCATATCAGTGGCTATTCGAGATTCGGCCTCCGTCAAATATAATTTTCTTAATTGTTTATATTTTGGCTTAAAGGTGAAACAAGCATTTGTTACAACTTTTGGTTTGGGTCTTTGCCAGTTTGCAGTAAACTCAAATTTTTATGTCTTAATTTTTTACACAATCTTCATCCCTTTTTTCGATCCAACGTATTTCCTTAGGTCCTCTGTAGAAGTGATTTTTTTGTTTCTCCAACAGTGATCCAGAGATCTGAAAAGAAGGATAGGGAAAGAGTGCAACGTTCGGCGTGACTACTGAGGTTATAATAAAACATCGCATCGCGATTCAATGATTTTTTGCTGCATGAGTCAGAGCATGGTCCTAAACATGGCTTCTTTCTCAATAGATCTGAATGCAGTCGTTGTAATTAAGCTCAGCAGTAACTGTTTCTTTAGGTCTCAATAATTCAAAGAGATTTATGTCCCAACGAAAGCACAAACACGGCTTAATAAAAACTGCAAAAGAATATGTTTTTCCTCTTTAGCATACGGTACATAAGTAAACTGAACAATTGATTACCGCTTAAGTATTTCCTATTTTCATGTTTCTATTGAAAATCTTGCACCGATATTCTAGATATGCGGCCATCACAAGGTGTTTTCTTACCATTGTTTGTGCGATTTGCTATTCCGAAGCATGAGTCACCATAAAACTTTTTAGTAGACATTTTTTTTTTAAGTCACGAAAACTGTAAAAGAATGAAGAAATGCTTGTCTTTTTACTTGGCTTGACGTCTTGTGTCTGTGATGTTGCTCAGAATATGGCTGACTAGCTAAGACTACTTCGATCTAAGTGCACGCACTGTATAAAAAAAGTGTATATAAAATATGTCGAGCATATGTTATTTGCCGAGTTTTAATGTTTGCACTAACTTTTGGAATTTTACTTACTTCCTTTGTAGTTGTCCTGTCCTGTCTTTCAAAAAAGGGGGGAAAAAAAAAGCAAAAATTTCTTTTCAAAATTTCCTCACAATATGAACGAAGCTCTCTCCCTCTTCAAAGAGGTAAAGATGATTTTATTATTGTACAAAATTTAACAAGAAAACTATTTCGAAGAAAAGGCAAACACAACCAAAACATGCCTGCATGGACAGACTAAAGACAAACATTTACTGCAATCACATTCACAGGATATAACATTATAAATTAAGAATAAAATACAACACAAACAGTAAAGGCAATCGATGAAGATGTTTACGAGGGGATGTATACGAATGTTTTACACGTTTTTTATCAAACCAAATAAATTACGTAAATTGTTATTTTTCAAGCTTTTTTATAATCACCATTCGCACCATTCTGGTCTCTGTCTGGTGTATACTACGTTTGTCTCTTCTCTTGCAAAGCTTAAAAAAAATTTCATATTCGTATTCTCGATCACAGCATGGATTTCTGTATCGTCAACGTATACGTATACGTTCTCCATAGTGCTGCCCGTAGAAAAATTTTGCAAGACACTATTTAAAAGTTAGCATAGCACAGGCAAGCTGAGATTGCCTTGACATCAAAAATGCTATGCAAAATATCTTTTGATATTGTAAGCGACTTTCCGACTTTACGCATCTAACTTAGTTCCCATCACAAAGCTTAACTCCGGCAATAGATCGCAATTTGAATTTTAGGATAAGTTTACTATTGTTATTAGTATAAATTTAGCCAGAGAATAAATCCTAAGACTCAAAGTCTTAAAGCACTAGCATCTAAGGCATTCGGCTTTATTAAAAACTCTATGGCACTTGAGATTTGAACCCACGAGCATTAAATTGCTAGTCGAGACTCTTGCCTACTGGACCACTCAGGCCGATATGCAGGATAAGTTAATTTATGATGCCAGAAGAAATGTCGGTCCAAGTTTTAATAAAAAATCAGTTAATTTCTTTTAGGCTGGGACCGCAGGGATACTCAAAATCTTTTTGGTCATATATAAAAGCTTTTGCGGAAGTGGTTATTTAAAGATCCTAGGTTGCTGTCGCCCGACTTGAAAGTGGATCGTCGCTTACAAATGTATTTCAGCAAGCTTGGGATACAAAAGAAACTCTTGTTGACTTGGTTCATTTTCTCTTACCTCTTAATACCTTTTATAGAAATGGCGGCTATAGAGCGCAGGCTACTCGATGCTCGACTTGTAAAGCTACTGCGGCATACAAATGTATTTCGGAAAAGGATGTTAAAGGGATTAGAAATTCTCTAATCAGCAGCGTGTAACCCATTCCGAATACTTTTTTACGTCGAATTCAATTTTTTTGCGACATACAACAAAAGAATTAAGAAAATCAAGATGAGTCCAGTTTTCAACGAGGGTTACAAAGCATACGAATCTGTATGCCAACTGTTGCCACTCAAATGTTAATTGCACTTGAACAACAATCTTGACACACAAATAATACATATTACGCATCATTTTCGTAGCAAGCCAAATAAGAAGGAAACCCTAGTGCTGTACAAATCTCATATTCATGCTTAACAGCATTCAAAAAGGAGATTTAGAAGGAAATGTTAACAGCTAAAAACTAAAAATTAATATATATATATATATATTTATACGAGCATATACAATACGGGGACGTATACTATCCGACAGCGAAAGAATGTTGTGTGTTTAAAACAAATGCGAGGCAGAACAACACAGACAGTGATTATATAGAACTTAAGTACAATATCGAATATCGATTTATCGCATACTTCCCTTTCATTTTGTAAGAATCACTCTAGTAATACTTTAGCCATTTCATACACAAATGTTCTCACAGACAGTGATGATAACGAACGGCCTTTTTGGTTTGGCTGAAATAAACAAAAACCTAATTACGGTGACCAGAATACAAAACTCATACTTTTAGTGGACATAGAGCATATAGAACTTAACTAATTATAACAACATCGAATGTCGATATATCGCATACTTCTCTTTCATTTTATAAGAATCGCTCTAGTAATACTTTAGCCATTTCCAACGTGACTTTTTTTGCTTTCGTGGAGTTCATACACGCATTCAATGAAGAGAAGGAACTAACAAATAAATCTTAGATTTACACGTCAATAAATAACGTAAAAGAGTAATTTGTTATTATTGCTGATGTTTTACTCGAAATATTGCAATGCATTAAAGGTCTCTGATTTTTCTTTTCTCTTCCCTTTTCCACACATCTAAACGTCGACAATTTTCTGAGCACTTTAAACAAAAAAAAGAAAAGGGGACAAGTAAAAAAAAAAACAGATAAGAATAATGCAAAGGTCTGTATATGCACAGTCAGATATACTTATAAAAACTATATGTGTAATTAAGTGAAAAAATTTTGAAAAACGTGCAAAAAGTTCTCAACTATATTATAGTTCGGTACGCATGCACAGGTCTTCTTTTTCGCAGGTAGTTATTATCGTCATTACTAATAAATGCTGTTGTTGCTGCGGGTACTTTTTCTTTTTTTTCCTTTTTTCCTTTTTTCCATGTAACATTTATTGTAATGATTATTGGTTTGAAAGCCAAAGAGGAAAAAAAAACAAAAAAAACAAAAAGCGAACCCATACCACAAAAAACAGGAAGAAGCAGCTCAATCAGAAGCCAAATGTAGTAAATAGCATTCAGTAGCTTGATGGACTTCATAAAACAGCGTACATGATAATTTGTTTTGCTTTTTATTTTGTTGTCCTTTTTTTTGTTTTTATTTGTTTTCTTCTTAAACAAAAGAAATCCCCTTACGATAGTTAACAATAGTATGAATATAAGCAACTTTGAGCCGTTGCAAGAGGGGTCATACGTCTGTAATTTATAAGCAATGTCGATCACAAATAACTGACATGTTGACATGGCCCAAATCAATAATTTATGGATTTTTTGTATGTGCAACACTTCA